AACGAAAAAATAAGTCCATAGAGACACAAAAAAATAAATGTATAGGATTCAGCCGGCGAGAGAATGAGATAGAACACATTAGACGTTCTCGTTCTCCTCTTATTGCGACTATTCGTAGCATCCCTACTATCGTCTACTGAACATTGTCCATATGTATGCTGCTGTGTAGTGGGATAGTCAGTATATCTATATCTTATTTATAAGTTTCACTTCTACCGTGTGTGACTTGCACACAGCCACACTTTTTTTTTTGGATCCTTATTGTATTACATTCGTATATTTTGGTTACAGCACGACGACTTCTGGACCTCCCCCCACGTGTACAGGGACATGAAAAGGCACGCGCCCTCTCTGTACCGCCAGCTGCAGTACGCGGTCGCGCTGCTGTTTAAGGGCGACCTCAACTACAGGAAGCTGCTCTGTGAGAAGAACGTGCCGCCCACCAGTGGGCTGGAGGCCGCCTTGCAGGGTGGGACACCGCTGCTCTCTTCTTCTTACTTTCCGAAGTGAAACTTCTTTTGGCGCGTCGAGAGTAAAATTTAATTCGCGACAGATTTGATACAATTTAGGAAGAGCCAGAGTGAGAAAATAACCGTGAATGAAGTGTACCACAATAAGTTTGCACGTTACCGAATGACCGTGGGTTGTTGCGAAACCTCCAGTTTTATTTTCATTTATACCTCGAATAGAACTTAAAATTAATATTTTTATAATAGGTAAGAAACTTCGTTCCTATCCGATTTCCCACGACATCACACATATTTTTTTAGTGTTTTAGTTCTTGTAGGAATAGATTCTAAATATCTTCGGATTCGTCTTTTCCAAAGTGTACTAGTTATTCCGGCGTCATAGTAACAGAAATCGACATAATAACTTCAGAGCGCCGCGTAGGGTATCATTGACCCATATGGCAGTCTAAACTCGAGTAAACAATCGACCCAAGTCCATTCCTGAGTCGGCCGGTGTGGTCCCGGGGCGACCGTGTGAATCCCTCGCGTGTCCTGCAGGCTTCCTCCCGGCTCCCGTGATCGCGGTGCGCACGGTGAAGGCCGACCTGATATGCGGGCTGCCGAAGGGTAAGTGGGACCAGCTGAACGCGCTCGACGACAAGTGGATGCAGAAGGGCGACTTCGGGTGAGTTTTACATCAACTCTAACTGTCGTGTTAACCTTAATTGACCTTAATTATCATCACTTGATTTCATCACCTAAATTATCATCACCTAATATTATCATCTAAATGATCATCACTTGATATCATCACGTAAATTATCATCATCTGATACCATCACCTAAATTATCATCACCTAAATCATCATCATCTGATTTCATCACCTAAAATCATCACCTAAATTATCTTCACCTGATGTCATTACCTAAATTAATTATCATCACCTAAATTAACCCAAGTTCAAATGTAATTACCATTAATACGAAACTTCATGAGTGGACAAATGTCAAAACGGCCATCATAGCGCGCCGGTTGTATAGTATTTTTGAAGTGAAAACTTCTTTAGAATCGTTGTGATTTCAAACCGGATGCAACGGAAAAAACGACAGGTAAGAGACACAAATATAAAAATGTGTAGGATGAAGCCAGCAAAGAATGAGACAGAAATATACATACTATTTAATACAGCGCCATCTGTGAGATTTTTTAATACTAACGTGTGTATGAAAGCTCTTGTAGTGAATTTTAANATACTAACGTGTGTATGAAAGCTCTTGTAGTGAATTTTAATTTAGGATTATACGTGAAATTAAAATATCAATTCACAGAGGGCGCTACCTTACAATTATTTACTAATGACAAAATTTTACATATACTTAAGACGTTTAGGATAATTGTATTTTAATTTTGGAAGGTTTCACTTCTACCACGTGTGAATTGCACATATGTTGTTTTTTTTGTTTTTTATTGGATGGGTGGACAAGCTCACAGCCCGCCTGGTGTTAAGTGGTTACTGGAGACCATAGACATCAACGACGTACCCACCTCGAGATATAAGTTCTAAGGTTACAACGGCTGCCCCACCCTTCAAACCGAAATGCATTACTGCTTCACTGATGCAGAAATACGCAGGGTGATGGTACCTGCCCGCGCGGACTCACAAGAGGTCCTACCACCAGTAACAGACAAGGGTCGGAGGGTTAATTAATGCGGCTGAATTTATAATACCACGGCTTGTAACGTCTCAATGATCGAGCCACGAATCTATATTGTAATATTTTCCAGCGTGATTCAGTATTGCGGTAAAGTGGAACCACTAAAGGTAGCTGACCGGCCATGCGATCAGTACGGAGACGTCTGCAGGGGAGCCGGCTGTGGTCCACGGACCGATATGTGATCCTAAATAATCACAAAACATACATCGGACACGAAGACAAAGAATACAGACTTAAATAACACAGAAAGGTTCAGTATTGAGAACAGCGCGCATTGTAACACGCGAGGTCAACGACCGCGTGGTGTTATTTGTTGGCAACCGCGCAATGTATGAAGTTATTTATAACTACCTTACTATTTATAACTTCATTAACGTTTTAGATTTCGTCAACAAACTACTGTCTGTATAAACTTGACATTTGTTGTAGATAGAAATAAATTTGAGTAGTTTTTTTTTTAAATAAATTAAATTTTATTGTAAAGGATTTGTGATACAAAGTTTATGAAACTTTGTCTGTATTAAATTTTATTTTAAGACGTTTTGGACTTGCGACGAACCTCGTCCAAGCTCTAAGATTTATATGCTTTTCCTAATTCTTCCCAATTTGATAGCCGACTTCAACGAAATAAGACTAGTAAATTATTAATGTAGTCGAAAACCATCGGAATTATCAATTTAGATTCATCTAGAAAAACGTTCTGAAATAACACATAAAGATGCGGCCGAATCGAGAAACTGCCTTTTTTTTGAAGTTGGTTAACAAGTTAGTTTTTATGATTCTGACGTTATGTTCCAAAGCATATTTTATTAATAAATACACGAATACATAAAGCTTTAGGTTTATTGTGTGTATATAAAAATGAATTTGAATCATAACATATCATTACTTTTGTGAAAAAAAAAATTCGACGTTGATTTTATGAAACATTTTTTTTATTTTAATGATCGACTTTGAATCAATAGATTGGCTGTTTTAAAAGAAAAAAACTTTGGTTTTTTCGACATTCGTTGTTTTCGCATTTGTGGAAATTGGGTGTATTTAAGTATATTAAATAAATTACCTAAATAAGAAATTTATATCCTTCAAATATATTAATAATTCCTTCAATAAATACATTTGATAGTAATTAAAATTAATTAAATAGTGGACGCGGGTTTTTTTTTATTACTTTTGTTAATAAACTGTTTTTGTTACGCATTATTGGTTTTTGTTTTCTCTATCACTATCCTTGGATAAGTCGTGACGATCTGAAAGTTCTAGTGAAATCTTTTTGAAAATTTGTGATTTACTTATTTTGTTTTTAATTATTCTACTGGAGACTCGTGTCGTGAAGTGTTCGCTGTTACATTTTAAACATTGTTTTTTTTTTTCCTACCTATCCTAGTAACCTCAAGGGGTTATCCTAGACTCGCCGAGCTTGTAGGTGAGCTCACGGGGCTCAAGCCTGATGACGTCGCTAACACGAACCCTAGCAAGAGCAGTGCTTCGCAGAATCTACCACCGGATCGGAAACGCGATCCGCTGAGAAGATCCGGCGAGAAACTCAGTGGGCTAATTTGTGGGTTAATTTACTCGTCGAGCCCTTCGTCGCGAGTCAACGGGTTCGACGAGAACGATGACCGGTGCTTGAGGTACCTAAAAACACCGTTAGTGGATCGGGAGGATCCGTAATGACGTGTTTTGGGCGACATCGACTGTTTACCTTTCGGTCCGCAGGATCGGGAATGTTTGTAATATTGGTACTTAAGTCATGCTTATAAACGTTGTGCCGGACAAGCGTGCAACGTCCATTGTGAAATGTCACGACTAATGTCGTGGTCTAAAGGAAGGTCGGGTCCATTCGTATCTAGCGATGCAACGGTGTTCGAATTCCGCAGGCGGGTACCGATTTTTCCAATTGTTCACGATTGACTTCCACGGTGAAGGAATAACATCGTGTAATAAAAATCAAACCAAATCATACTTTGCGTAATTACTGGTGGTAGGACCTCTTGTGAGTCCGCACGGGTAGGTACCACCACCCCGCCTATTTCTGCCCTGAAGTAGTAATATGTTTCGGTTTGAAGGGTGGGGCAGCCGTTGTAACTATACTGAGGCCTTAAAACTCATATCTCAGTGAGTGGCGCATTTACGTTGTAGATATCTATGGGCTCCAGTAACACCAGTTGCGGGAACCATCGATGTTCACTTTGTCCGTCACCCCGGCCTCCGAAGATCCCCGAGGTACCGTCGCCCTGATGAGGTGCGACTCACGATCTTTGATTGTCCGTCTCTCCAAGGACCCCAACGGCACAACACTCATTGCGTTGGCTCTAAGTCAGGACTATTGGGATTTATGTCTTCAAATTCCTTTTCATGCACGTTTTTTTGAACGATATTCACATCCTTACTATTGGTAACACTTGCGATTGCATGCAGCAGAGATGCGAATGTTGCGATGGATGTGTGGAGTAACGAGAATGGATGGAATACGGAATGAATATGTTAGAGGAAGTCTGAAAGTGGCGCCTGTGACAGAGAAGCTGAGACGTGCGCGTTTGGGATGGTATGGACATGTGATGAGACGAAATGACAATAAGGTTGGTAAGAGAGTGTTAACTATGAATGTGGAAGGATATAGAGGAAGAGGTAGACCTAAGAAGAAATGGATGGATTGCGTGAAAGGCGATATGGGTTAGAGGGGAGTGAGCGAAGAAATGGTATATGTTAGAGGAGTATGGAAGGAGAAAACATGTTGCGCCGACCCCAGGTGACAGGGAGAAGGGCAAGATAATGATGATGATGACTATTGATAACATTTAAGGGTTTGTAGGACCGAATAAAAGTCGTTACATTTCAAATTTGATTTATTTACAGTTACAATTACTCAATATCACTAATATGTCTGACGATTGACTCGCGGCTTACCCGACCTATAGTGACTTCTACATTTGTATTAATTACACAGCAGTTGGTATTTTAAGTAAAAACTCAGTTTTAAAAGGTAAAATTATTACAGTTCAATACGGGGTTCCTTATTTCCAGTGTGTTCTACTGTAGTTACACAGGTTTGCAGAGCAAACTGGGACGTATTCGTATACGCATTAAGGTTCAATCTCAAGTGTCCTTAATCAACGACAAAAAGCTTATACTTGCCCGGACACAGACATTAAAATGATCTAAGCTGCTAATTAAAACGTCCGTTCGCGACGTATATTTTACGACGAGTAAATAAAGTAAGTTCAGTTTTTTTTATTTAAATATTTAATCGATTCGCGTTTTAGCTGGTTTTTGGCCACAAATGACGTCACACGTAGTTTAAGTTTAGTGGTCGACAAATGCAGGTTTAAGCCAATCTATCTTTAATCACAATAGAATTGTTCATGATTCAATTTGACAAATATTCCCCTCCCTATTGCCCCTGTGAGCCCCCGTTAGTCGTTGACGGCCACCCAGCCACCGGCGCCCCCGGGCAGTTGCACTTGGATAAGCCGCACCACGTCACCGTTCTCATCGTTGGCCACGATCTGTGAGCACTCGGACTTTTTAATAGGCTTTTATTAGCTTCAGACGTATGTATGTTTGTAACGGCATCTTTGAACATGATTTTGACCCGATTAACTCGAAATTTGGTATACTTATTAAGGATCGATGAAAATTCAATATTTAAAAAAATTTATAAAAAATTGAAATTCAACTAAAAATATGAAAAGTAAATAATAGTTTAAAGAAACTAACAAAATACGCTTTTATAGAAAATCCAACTATAAATTAGTAAATAAATTTTAATAAATTAATAAAACTGTTAGAGAATGCCTATGGCATTAATTAAGTTCGCCTTTATACTGTCTGGTATATAAAGTTACAAATAAATATATAAATTTGAATTAAAAATAGTGTAAGAAAAAAAATATTTTATTGTAAAAAAACCGTGGGGTGCACGGTATCAGCAGTTAGAAATATTTTATGAACAGATATGAGTAGAAGGGTTATTTTGATAATATCATAAAAAGCACCCCACGCATTTTTTGCAATAAAATCATTTTTTCTTACATTATTTTTAATTCAAATTTATTAAAATTTATTTCTATTTTTAGTTGGATTTTTTATAAAAGCGTATTTTGTTAATTTTTTAAACAATATTTTTTTTATTGTCCTTGTAAGCAGACGAGCATACGGCCCACCTGATGGTAAGTGGTTACCGTCGCCCGTGGACTTCAGCAATGCCAGGGGCAGAAATAAGCCGCTGTCCAGGACTATTAGGGCCACTAACCACTGCACCACTGAGTGTTTGTTTGTAAAACGCAACTTTCGTTATGAGCTTAACAGGAGTCTATGGACATCAGAGAACTAGTACCACCAGTTACTTTGAGACAAGGGACCGAAGCTCTGATGTACACGGCCCATCATGACCCCGGGCGTTGCACAGTTTCCTGAACAGCCTGCTTGAGACTGCGACCTCATGTCTCAAGGCGACCTCATTCGTGAATCCTTAATAAACAAACTCGGTTACCTGCGTCTGCTGCATATCCTGCGCGTCCAGCAGCTCGGCGGCCGGCGCCGTCTCTGCGGACGGACAGTTCTTACAATGTGCGTCCGAGCCGGACAAGATCAAATTTAAATCGAAGCAAGCGTAATAATTCTATGCAATTATATCGAGAGAATGAAAAGGCTATTTGGTTAAAGCAAAATTTATCTTTGTAATTAACAGTTCGATGTTTTTAATTGAACTTCAATTAAGTTTAATCCATTTAAAAAAGCTGAAGAAGTTTTTTCTCTTTTTTTATTGCTTAGATGGGGGGACGAGCTCACAGCCCACCTGGTGTTAAGTGGTTACTGGGGCCCATAGACATTTACTACGTTAATGCGCCACCCACCTTGAGATATAAGTTCTAAGGTCTCAAGTATAGTTACAACGGCTGCCCCACCATTCTAACTGAAACGCATTACTGCTTCACGGCAGAAACAGGCAGGGCGATGGTGCCTACCCGTGCGGACTCACAAGAGTTCCTACCACCAGTAGATTTTCTTATGATATTTTATCCATATTTTCGAACTTTAAATAGCTCTGCTGCTAAACATGCAAATATCTTTTCACCCCTCGATATATAAAAACTGTTTTTTTATTTTTATTAAATCATAATTATCTAGTAGCGATGCAAATGTTTATTACTATAACAGAGAATGTTTAGACCGTAAAATTAACTGCCCACCTGATGGTGAGTGTTCGTCACCCTTGGACGTCAGCAATGCTAGGGACAGAGCCAAGCCGCGGCCTAATGTAGGTGCCAGTGCGATAGCCTCAAATGACGTCACGCGTTGAAATCCTACCCACAAAGTTCTCTGTTCTCGTTTTAATACTATGCACAGTGAGGGATCCTACCTGGCTGCTTCCCGCTCGCGTCCAGACTCAACTCCTCGTTTTCGAAAAGCTGAAAAGAAATTCGAAACAGAAAGTAAGTTTCACACCGGACGCACACATGTTTGTATATATTACTGTGTGTACAACAACATTTGCAACACGTTGCGCAGGTTGGCAACGCGTGGCGTAGATTAGCAACACGTGGCTTAGTTTTGCAACAAGTGGGATAGTTTGCAACACGCGGAGTAGATCTGCAGCACGTGGCGTAGATTTGCAACAAGTGGCGTGGCTTTTCTACATGTTGCGTAGGTTTCCAATGCGTTGCTTTTCTACACGTGGCATTGCTTTTCAATATGTTGCGTAGGTTTGCAACACGTGGCATTGCATTTCTACACGTGGCGTGGCGTTTCTACATGTGGCGTACATATCAGTTCCGGCGATGCGGATGTCGAAGCCACAGTCTTGTGAGCTGACTATTACGCCACAAGCTTTTTAAGCTGTTTCCTTTTACACGGGTGCAAGCGACTGCCGGCGCCAAAACGTGAGGTCGACGACTCAAAGCTACCAATCAACAATGCGTAATCCTATATACTCTATATTACAATATTCAATCTCATTCCAATTCCATTCATTTCATTATTTTTTCCATTCATTCCAAATCCATTCATTCGGAGCGACGCATTAACGAACATATATTTACTTACAGTTTCATACTTTTTGGTTTCGAATGTCTGTACGTCGAGTATCTGCGTCGCCACGTTCTGTAAGCAAACAACACAGTGATGACCACGGGCTCGGCGGGCCCGGGACACTCTCCGAGATAAGAGTATTGCTAGATGCACGTTGCCATTTATGACGTCACTCCTATTTTGTTACATCTTTAAAGGATTAATAAGATACCTATTTAAAGGTACCAATTAGTCCTAGTTTGTAAAGACAACACTATTTAATGGTATCAACAAGTCCCAGTTTGTAAAGACAAAACTAGTTAATGGTACCAATAAGTCCTAGTTTTTAAAGAAAACACTATTTAAAGGTATCAATAAGTCCTAGTCTGTAAATACAACATTATTTAATGGTACCAACAAGTCTTAGTTTATAAAGACAACACTATTTAATGGTATCAACAAGTCCTAGTTTGTAAAGACAAAACTAGTTAATGGTACCAATAAGTCCTAGTTTTTAAAGACAACACTATTTAAAGGTACCAATAAGTCCTAGTCTGTAAATACAACATTATTTAATGGTACCAACAAGTCTTAGTTTATAAAGACCACACTATTTAATGGTATCAACAAGTCCTAGTTTGTAAAGACAAAACTAGTTAATGGTACCAATAAGTCCTAGTTTTTAAAGACAACACTTTTTAAAGGTACCAATAAGTCCTAGTCTGTAAATGCAACAATATTTAATGGTACCAACAAGTCTTAGTTTATAAAGACAACACTATTTAATGGTATCAACAAGTCCTAGTTTGTAAAGACAAAACTAGTTAATGGTACCAATAAGTCCTAGTCTGTAAATACAAAAAAGTTCTAAGTTTGTTACTCATTTGTCAAACGATTTTCTATTTGTTTTCTTTAGTAATATCTGGACTTAGGGTCGAATTTCAATCTCTAGTACCATATTTATAATAATGACGTCATATATGGCTAGCGGCTACATTGTCTACAGATTAACTCCAAATGACGTCACACACTCTAAAATTTCACGTGCAAATAAGAAAAATTAAAAACTACCCGCTTTATTAATGACTCAATTATAATAAATTCCAATGGTGTTTTTAACAACATCTACATATAAAAACGTATATAAATGTTTGTACGTTATCTATTTGTTTCTAAGCCATATATCCGGTTGTCAGGAAACTTGGTGCACATATCGACTTGTGACTTACCATTACCAGTGTCATTGTAGGATATTTATAGTTTAATCTTCTATAATAAAAGGGGTCTTACCACCAGTAATTATAATTTGCGGGTTTGATTTTGATTACACGACTAGCTGTACCCGTCCGCTTCGTTGGGCATTTAAAATTAACATTATTATTATATTTCACACCCCCACAAAAATTCTCATCATTAACGCCCCCGCAACTGGTGTAGGGAGTCCAACACTCATATAAATATTAGGCTATCCATTAAGTACATGTATTTTCTACATGGATACCAAGTTTCAAGTCAATCGGATGCATGGTTCAGTAGTTATAACGGAACATCCGTAACCACTGTAGATTTATATATTAGATAGATAGAATGTAATGTTCTATGATACGCATGTTTACTCACGCTAGTGTGCACCTTCGTGACCCTCGGCTGGTTCACGACTATGGACTCGGCCAGGTGACCCTAGAACACGAAGTTTGAGTGCCCTTAAGATTGAGGTCTCGAGCCGATATTAGGAACAAAATTCGTATTTATAATTGGTAGGTACCACCACCCTACCTAGTTCTGCCGTGAAGCAGTAATGCGTTTCGGTTTGAAGGGTGGGGTAGCCGTTGTAACTATACTGAGACCTTAGAACTTATATCTCAAGGTGGGTGGCGCATTTGCGTTGTAGATGTCTATGGGCTCCGTCAACCACTTAACATGAGTTAATATTTGAGACTTAGAATTCGTATCTTATAGTTACTGCCAATAACAGCTATTCTATTTATATTTTTGTGTATGTATTCGTAATTTCGTAACTTAATATAAATTCCATTGCGCCTACCACTATTCACTCTGCACTACCTTAGGTTGACTGGTAGAGAATGCCTTAGGCATTAAGTCCGCCAATGTAATTTGTTTAATTTTACATGTAGTGTAATATAATAAAAACTAAAATGTGTGAATTAGACATGTGTAAGTAATGCGAGTGATATTACTCGGGTAATATTACTCTACGATGTAATGCAACATCACACATTACGCGAAGGAAACAAACATCACACTATCACCCAACATGTTTCTTTCTTTGTCGTGTAATGTTGCTTAATACACGAACGGAACCGAGCGAGCGAGACAGACCGATCGACGCAAAATAAATGAGCAAGCGACACGGAATTATTCCTAGTGATTTTGAACCGTATGCCCTGGCCGCTAGGTACATTTTTATACCTATGGTACGTCTGAATTTTAATATAGGTATTTGTGTTTATATTTTTCATGCGGCCAGCCGGTAGCTCCCCGCAAGTACTTACTTAATTTTTTATTCGCAACTTTTGTAAAATCGCTAGTCGCTCGTAATTGTTTAGTAATATTTCATATTAATTTTTGTGTTTGATTTGAATTACTTAAGCACTTGTTTGAAGATAGTTTTATTATTTGTTTTAATGCGTGTTTAATAAGTGAAAGAAATAACGGCGTCTAAATGAAAGTACAGTCCTCCTTGGATGCACTTTGAGGATATCGCGCCGAAACAATGCATCTACTGCTCTCGTATATTAACATTATTGTCGAGCTNGATAATAAAATCCTTTTGTTTAAACTTTATCTAATTTAACTTTTTTGTATTCATGTCTATGATAATAAAATCCTTTTGTTTAAACTTTATCTAATTTAACTTTATTTAACCAATTTCTAGAAAGTTGCATGTAGATCATTTTTCGAAAAATAAGGCCATAAATAAGTTTCACTTCTTACGTGTGTACACTAGTACACGCACACATTTTTTTTGATTACACGACTAGCTGTACCCGTCCGCTTCGTTGGGCATTTAAAATTAACATTATTATTATATTTCACACCCCCAGAAAGATTCTCATCATTAACGCTCCCGCAACTGGTGTAGGGAGTCCAACACTCATATAAATATTAGCCTATCCATTAAGTACATGTATTTTCTACATGGATACCAAGTTTCAAGTCTATCGGATGCATGGTTCAGTAGTTATAACGGAACATCCGTAAAAACCACTGTAGATTTATATATTAGTATAGATAGAATGTAATGTTCTATAATGCGCATGTTTACTCACGCTAGTGTGCACCTTCGTGACCCTCGGCTGGTTCACAACTATGGACTCGGCCAGGTGACCCTAGAACAGATGTTTGAGTGCCCTTAGATAGAGGTCTCGAGCCGATATTAGGAACAAAATTCGTATTTATAATTGGTGGGCACCACTACCCTGCTTATATCTGCCGTGAAGCAGTAATGAGTATCGGTTTGAAGGGTGAGGTAGCCGTTGTAACTATACTGAGACCTTAGAACTTATATCTCAAGGTGGGTGGCGCATTTACGTTGTGGATGTCTATGGGCTCCGGTAACCACTTCTTCTTCTTCGTCGCTTCCTCATTACTGAGAGTCGTGACCACCTTGGTCCAGTTTTTGCACCAGCTTCCTCCAATGTTGCCTGCATTCGGCCTGCTTAATGGCGCCCGGGACGCTGGTGTTTGTGGCCTCCTTGACAATGTCCGTCCACCTGGTTGACAATCTTCCTCGACTTCTCTTTCCTTCCACGTGACCTACAACTATTAATTTTTCCAAGTTGTCAGGATTTTGTCGGGCCACGTGTCCGAAGTAACATGTACACTTAACATGAGTAAATATTTGAGACTTAGAATTCGTATTTTATAATTATTGGCAATAACACGGTTGATGTCTATGGGCTCCACGTCGGTTGGCACTGATCTCCGGTGGGACATAAGCGTGAGGAGGTATCTGTTGTCTCACACTGGCGCTCATGTGCGCGTAGAGCAGCTGCTTCCTCATGAAGCCGGCGCCGCAGGACAGGCACTCGTAGGGCTTCTTGTCGCTGTGCGTGAAGCGGTGCGTGTTGCGGTTGTCGCGCGTCGTGAACGTCTTGCCGCAGATCTGCAAGCGGACGCGGCCGTTAGCGGGGCGGGGCGGGGCGGGGCGGGGCGGGTCGGGGCGGGGCGGGACGGGACGC